ATGGGTCTCAACAAATTAATACAAAATTTGGCTACTTATACTATTATGCAACTTGGGTTGTGGTTAGACTGACTAGACATAACCCAAAAAATAATACTCGACTTGGATCGACTCGACTCAGTTGAAAATGTATGGGACTTTCTACTTTAATGTTTCTAAAAGAACATGCACATCACATGGGTCTCAATTAGTTACATAAGACTCAGTTTGGAAGGAGTACGAATGCAAATATGTATCATGCAAATACATACAAAACACAAGGTTTTACACTCTACATATTTGTATTTGTACTCCTTATAAATTTTTCTTTCCTCTAAATTTTCTTTTATCCCTCCATTTTTTCTCTCACAAAAAAGTCTTTCCTCCTACGAATTTGTCCCTAATTTGATCATGCGATGGATGAATTGTTGTTAAAAATTACCCATATTCTATATAGGAGTGATGGTTATGGGTGAGTATGTGAATAGCCTCATGTTTGATATGTTTAACTAAAACAAAAAAAAAAAACTGAAAATTTAGATGAATCAAGGAGAGGTTAGGGGTTGTGATGTGAAGAGAGTATGAATTTTAAGAAAAGATAAAGCAAAAAAAAAAAAAAAACAGAATTACAAAGAAAATAGAGGGGGTAACACATGCCTATTCTCATATCCAAAGGTTAGGACCGTATACAATTTAACCCTCCACCCAAAACCCCATAATGGCCTAACTTAACCTCATTAATTTTACAAATTATACAAAAATCATAAGGAGAGCCACGCGACCCTCTCTCTCTAATATAGTATGGATTACATGCATTTATCTTGTGCAATGTTGGTCATATATAGAAGATTAGAAATTCGGTTAAGTAAAGGAAATTCTGCTATATATGATGCCACCTATACTTGTCAAAAGGAATCTTGTGGAACTCAGATGCTGTATTGGGTTAGGGACCCTTTATTAGCTAAAAATCCAATCCTGTACTCTCTCTCTCTCTCTAACAGCTCAAAGGATAAATTCATTCAACTTCAATTATCAATCTTAGATATTGAAATTTTCCATTTTTCCTCTATACTAATTTAAGTTTAAAATTAAACACCTCCAAACAAGGATTATAATCTTTTGTACCAATTGATTTTTGGCCCCACTGAACTCCTAAATAGCACCCATTTATTGATAGATTTCATACTCCACACATGGGACAGGTGGCAAGTTATGGGGCTCTAGACCCACAAATTTGTATCTTCGGTTTGCATTGTGCTTATCACCTAAAAATTATCTCTCCATCAAATCAAAGCCTAATGACATTAAGGGATGGTATCATATACTGAATCTTAACAATCAAGAAGATTCCAATACCAAATCAACATTCTTTCATTTAAAGCTGATGTACTCTTTCGATCTCCACTACCAAATAAAAAAAAAGGATAAATTGCTTAAACTTCTGCTGAAGTTTTTGATTGTTGTTGAAATCTCCCCTTAAATTTGGTAATTGTGATTATCTTTCTTGAATTTTTCAACATACTTGCAAGTAGACCTCCTTTGGTAGAATATTCTAAAGAGGCATAAAAATGTATAAAATACCTATATAATTATTTTTCACAAAAATATTTATTTTCAAATTTTCTTATCATATGAATCACTATCCCAAACCCTTACAATTTCTTAAAATTGATTTGTTTTCTAAAATTGCCCTTTATATCAATCACTCAAAGGTAAAGCTACAACTTTAAATTCTCTTTGTTTTTGTTGTTCATAAAATTTGTATTGTTTTTTCATCTTGTAAAAACCAACCTCAATAGTAATTGCATGGATATTTTAGACAATTTCAGGCCTTTTTTAGAAGATTATACCAGAGGTCTACTTGTAAGGAGAACCCCAGTTGTCATCCTAGGGATAGGAATGACTGTAATATACAAAACATGTATGAGGCACATAACTAACAAAAGATTATAATAGCGATTTTCTTAGGCTGCGTTTGAAAACGATGCAAATGGAGTGTAAATCCCGATTCAGGGTAAATTTGTACTCTTGGTTCACTGTTGCATGTGTTTGGCAACATTATATTTATGCATTAACAAATGATAGATCAACGGATATTTGTAAAAGCACATCAATAAAAAATAAGTAAATGGGGTTTTGATAAAAAAACATATATTTTATTAGAATTCATGTTTGTATCAATTACAATCAAAAGTCTATTTGACAAGAAATTAAATTTGTCATTGCAAAGCTAATCCAACTTTACACTTTATATAAACCGTTTTACACTTTACATATTTACATTCACACTTATTAGCATTGTTTCCAAAAGCATTCTTAATTTCTGCAATAGAGCTTTAAATAACCCTGACACAACTTTAGATAGTATCTATCTACGCCAAAATGAGTGTCAAGTAGATCCCAATCGGACACCCAAAATCTCCCCACGTGGAGAATCCTCATTGAATCTCAATTCCACTTTCTCTAAGGTCTAAACAAATATAGAATTCTCTTTGCAGAGATTCCTGGTTTATGCAATTACATTTTAAGTTCCAAACGCAAGTTCCACTTTCCATTATGGTTTACCAGAAAAGTGCAACTCAACGTGTTCCACTATAACTCACCGTCCAACCATGTAATTGGTGTGTTGAGACTAAGAACAGGAGGTCTGCTTTCTAGGTCCCTACAAGCAAAGTCCACTCTAAATTACTGAACAAACTACCCCCAATTCATCGTCCTTTTCATGGATGAATTGACGAGAATACCCATGTGTCGTGATTCTTTGTCAGGTTCGAACACGTAAGCAATTCAACCGGATAGATTATCTGATAACGTTATCTCAATCGCTAGATCGATTAGTGCCACGTTTCATCTCTGTTCTTTCAAATTGGTGATATGGCTCGTGGGAAGGGACAAAACGGAAAAGTGAAAGAGAAGAACAGGGCACAAGTGAGAACTTGATTGGAGAAATGGTGATAATTTAGATTCAAGAAGAGTGGAGTGATGGGTGGTGTGCTGGTTGTCGAGCAGATTCTAGGATATTCGTAGGTTTTGTTTGTAATGTTGACGTAAGTGCTTGCAGTAATTAATGGAGGTTGCTGTGAGTGGTGGAGAGTGAAAACAGGGTGGTTCTTTTATTTTATTGTTTGGCATTAGTTGGTCTGTTTTTTGGAATGGCGGATTTGATGGCAAGTTTGGTTTGAGCAACTGGGGATTTAGAGAGTACCCACCACCTGCTCAGTGCAGAAGAAGGAGGCAATTGCTGACCTTTTATTCTGTTGGAGCTCTGAATCATCTTAGTCTGTAGGAATCAGAAGCTTGGTGTTTCTCTCTTTCTCTCTCTCTACCACTTTTTTGGTTTTTTTATTTTATTTAGGCTTATTTTCAGGGTTTTTTTATTTTTTATTTTTTATCTTCCTGTTTGTCCTTTTTAGAACATACCAGCTTCCATTTCCGTTCAAGAACTGGGGATCTTTCTTGGGACTAGTTCTTGTATAAGTTGTTAGCTAGTCCATATTGAATTTTCAATTATTTGGATCGTCTGTTTGCTGAGGTTTTTTATTAGAAGCATACATTCTGTGTTTCTCTGAATCTGATTTGGTCTTTTGCGGTTCCTGTGATCCATCCCCCCCCCCCTCCCCCACCAAAAGTGAGTTGGGTTAGTAGAAGAATTGACAGCTCACTGTTTCTCTCTACCATGAGGTAGATAGATAGATAAGAGAGAGAGAGAGAGAGAGAGAGAGAGAGAGAGAGGACTATCCAGGGATTGCTATAGGAGTGCAAGATGCCAGCTGCTACACTGTTGTGGGCTTTCTCCCTCAACACAGAGATCTCCAACTGCCTTGGTTTTTCAGAGACAATCCGAGAGGGAGGTCGGTCTCTTGATGGTTCAAACTCTTTAAGTCGAGCTCTGTCTGCAAGGTTTGATGGAAGACTGAGGGGGAAGAAACCCAGATGGAGTTCTTGCTCTCTCGGTTCATATTTGAAGTATTCATGTTTGTCTGGGTCACAGAACAGTGGAAACTTCCCTGTTTTGTCGAGCTTGGTTGCAAATCCTGCTGGGGAAAATGCAATCTCCTCAGAACAGAAGGTGTATGATGTGGTGCTTAAACAGGCAGCTCTGGTTGAAAGGCAGCTGAAGTCTAGTGTAGCTCTCGATGTGAAACTGGACATGGTTTCTCCGGGAACTCTCAGTTTGTTGAATGAAGCTTATAACCGGTGTGGAGAAGTATGTGCAGAGTATGCAAAGACGTTCTACTTGGGTTAGCCTTTTCTTTAATTTTCTTTTCTTCCCAGTTGTAGATTTGTATACTCTTCTCTTTGTAAAGCCTCCTTTGCTATTTATTTATTTGCTTGGTTTTGGATAAGCCCTTTGTTAAATAACTAAACCAGATTTCTTTGTAGCACAAATCTTATATATTTTCCTTTTACTTGGTCCAGGGACTCTGCTCATGACCCCTGAGAGGCAAAGAGCTATCTGGGCAATTTATGGTGAGTGATTGCAACCTCTAACTAGGGACACTCTTTTCATTTATTCCTTTCCAGTTTGCACAGACCTCTGACCTTCCAACAAGAATGGATTCAGATGTTAAATGGGATGTATTTCAATTTAAAGGAAGCACAGAAAATGAGAATGACCAACATATAAGTTAAATGGTATGCAGTGTGGGGAGTTGTAGTAGCAGAATAACCCATCTGATATATTGAAGGGAAGAATCTATGATTAAACCTTATGCTAGAGTCAGTAACAACTGTCTCTTGTTAACCCTGGGAATAACTTCAGCTTCATCAAGGTAGGATGGTGGTGAACGTTTGACCTACCAATATGATATGATAGACTGTCTGTTGGAGCTAAGGTCTAGTTTTGTAATTGTGAGAGATAAATTTTGAGATTATGGTTTTAGCAAAGATCACCATTTCTCATGAAAGTGGAACAAAAATAAAATAAGGGAAGGACAGCTTCTCACAGTTTCTCAAATGCTCATCTTGTTGTGGGCTTGGGGGAGATGTGGGAAAATTATATCATCTGTCCTTGAAAATTGGCAGTTGCTACTTCTAGCTGGCTAGCTTGAAGACATGATATTTGGATGATTTTGTTGTTGATACAGCTAGAGCCAGTGAAGGATTTTTCTTTTGGTTTCTTCTTTTTAGTTGGTTTTAAGGGATGATATGTTAAGTTTATGATAGTGACATTTCTAAAATTTGAAATTCCATTATATTCCCCATCAGGCCCTTTCTATAAATTCATATATGACAACACAATGGGGTAGCTTTCTCCAAACCAATATTCTGTCTCTTAAGCTTGCACTTCTACAGTGACATGCCAAAATCATCTCAGAAAGATAAAAAGTAAATATAAACAACTCTTACTAATGTCATTTGAGGTCATATGCTTCTTATCTTTCTTTATTTGTCTTGGCATAACCTCTGAACATTTTCTCTGATCACCAAGATAAATATCTTAGTTTGGACACTGATAATTAGAACCCTAAATTATTGGCACTGCAGGACACATATTGGAGAGTTTACAATTGAATATGATCTGATCTTTTTGGCCAACAATCTAATTGAAAGAAATTAAGAACCTAACTAACATGAGGCTGAGGCTCTCTCCAAAGTTCATAACTATATCTAACTTAGTTCTCTATAACCTCAGGTGCATCTCCTGTTAATAAAACATGCAATGCTGCATTGGTTACTTGAAATCCCTAGTATAGTCTTTTTTTTTGTGGACTTAGAATTAACCTGGATAATTTTGTATGCATTTGCTTTCTCTATGAAACAATTATTTTCAACCTTCACCATACAATTTTAATGAAAAATGTCTTGAAAGGAAAAGTTGGTCTTTTTTATCATATCTGCATGTTTGTGTATAAAATTGTGCTTCTGATATGTGTATGCAAAATGGAAGATAAACTAGGACTTTGCTTCCTCCATTAATTTCTTTTTTGTGCAGTTTGGTGCAGAAGAACAGACGAACTTGTAGATGGACCCAATGCATCACAGATAACACCAACAGCTTTGGACAGGTGGCAATCAAGGTTGGAAGATTTATTTGCAGGCCGTCCATTTGATATGCTTGATGCAGCTTTAGCAGATACAGTTGCAAAGTTTCCTGTTGATATTCAGGTGCATGCTACCTCTGGTTTTCCATGTGATTGTCTTTGTCGTTCTTGTTTTATTTTTCTTCTTCTCTTCTTTCTTGATTAACATGTTTAATGTGCATATTTGTTATATATTTAATTCCTTCAATTCCGGGCTCCATACTTGCATATACTTACTAGTCATACCTGCCAACTTTTTGAGCCAATGATCTTGATAAAATTCTTATCCAAGAATGGAATCTCTCATTTTTCAGCCATTCAAAGACATGATTGAAGGAATGAGGATGGATCTTAAGAAGTCTAGATATAAGAACTTTGACGAACTCTATCTCTACTGTTACTATGTAGCCGGGACTGTTGGATTAATGAGTGTTCCAGTCATGGGTATTGCACCTGAATCACAGGCAACAACAGAGAGTGTCTATAATGCTGCCTTGGCATTAGGAATTGCCAATCAGCTGACCAACATACTCAGGGATGTGGGAGAAGAGTAAGTACTTCTTAAGTCATTGACATCTTCATCATCATCCAAGCCTTATCCCAAATATATGGGGTTGGCTACATGAATACTGCTTTGTCATTCCATTCTGTTTAATGCCATATCCATTGTTAAATTATGGTCACTTAAATCATTTCTTACTACTTCAACCCATGTCCTTTTTGGTCTATGGTGCGCATTGACCAAATAGACCCAGTAGTATTGTTAGTACAGTACCAAGGCAATGCTTCTTCATTTTCTAACTTGATTAGCAGTTATGAAAGTCTATATTTCTTATGTGTTTCTCCTTTTTAATTCAGTGCAAAAAGAGGGAGAATCTACCTGCCACAAGATGAGCTAGCACAGGCAGGGCTCTCGGATGAGGATATCTTTGCAGGTAAGGTCACAGACAAATGGAGGAGTTTCATGAAGAGCCAAATTCTGAGGGCAAGGATTTTCTTTGATGAAGCAGAGAAAGGGGTTACAGAGCTCAGTTCTGCCAGTAGATGGCCGGTAAGAAAATAAAAACATAGAAGGAAAAATATTCAGAATTCTGAAAATCCTAGAGGGAAAGTACCATAAGAATGGAAAATGGTGTACAAACTGAAACATTCAGTCTATATACCACTTACCACCATTAACAGCACCACTTGATCACAATGAGGCAGTGATTTGACTTGTATGCATGTTCCCTATTATCATCTACAAGCTGATTGAGTGATTGTGATAGAAATAGGAAATGGTGAAAATCAAACTGTCAACAAGATATTCATTCAAGGCGTTTCCATAGGATCACTCCTCTTAAAATACAGACGATGTAGCACAGAGAGTCCTTCTTAATTTGTTAATGATCAACTCAAAACCATTTTCTTTGTCATACAGATTTCTCTATCTAGAGAGCCATGAAGCTTGAAACCGAACTGATAGATTCACTGAATTCTATCAGTTAAATGGAATGCAATGCAGCTGCCCCAAACCCCCAGTAAAAATAAATAAACAAGAGAATTAAAAGTTACTTAATGCCGCCATTTTTAGGTAAACACCTTCCTGAAGAGACCCCAACATCATCCTGTCAACAGACTTTGCTTAATCTGCTTAAAGCCTTCTAAATCTGTGTAACTGATACCTTTAGTATTGTATATTGCAGGTATGGGCATCCCTGCTATTGTATCGCCAGATACTGGATGAGATTGAAGCTAATGATTATAACAACTTCACCAAGAGGGCATATGTGAGCAAAGCTAATAAGCTACTGGCTTTGCCTGTTGCTTATACCAGATCTCTTATTGGGCCATCAAGAATATCAAATCCTGTGAAAGCTTGAATCAAATTGATCACAATGGATTCTACAGCAATGTCTACTCAGATACAGACTACAATAGAATTGGGCATATATTTTTACTGCTGTAAATATTGCAACCCTGACATTGATCTTTCTGATTAAATATGAGGTAAATGGTGATGCACACACACACACATAATTAATAAAAGTTATAGCATTTTTTTTTTTGCTAAATTTCTATTTATATTATTTTAAAATTTTGGGGGAAATAAACCCACTGATATATTTCGCTTTTGTATGTGTGCCAAACTGCCAATAGTTTTGTCCTAAGTCCCAACTCCCAAACTGAAATTTGGCGGGAACTTTTAAGAAACATCGTTCAGGCCAGTCTTGTCATACCTGGACCAGAAATTTTGAAGAACCATGAACCATGATCCGATTTACAAGCGTTCCAGTAGAGTTGATCGCGGTCCGAATATGATCTGACCGTTTTTTGTCCGATCTTAGTGACACCGAACGGACTAATGTTTCAAAAGCTTAATTTAATCCATCTCTCACCTTTTTCCAACTGATTCTGTTCTGGTTCAAACCTTCTGTAGGTTTTTAAACAACAGCTTAACCTTTTTGTAAATAAATTTGACTGGTTTAGAGGCGATTTAGTCCCGGTTCTGCTTCTGCCCTAATGACTCTACTCATCAGTTGTTTTTTAGCGTAGTTATGGAGTTTTGGCCTTCAGGGTGTTATAAGTTGGTTTAGGGCATTTAATTGTAACTAGTTTGAATATCTTTGGAGATTTTGAATTGTAAAAATTTAAATGTGGTACCCAAGTTATTAAAAGATTTGAACCACCATCATTCCAAAAAAGTTGTAAGACATTTTAAAGCAAAGCAGTTCACCTCTTCCAAACCCCCTTTCCTGCTTCTTTGGTAACTCTCTTTTCTTTCCAATTTCAAGCCCTCTCAATAAGCCAATAACCAGAGGTATTAACTAGAGGTGTAAAACGGGCTGTGCCGTGTTGGTACACGGGCCATGTCGCCTTCCCCAGGGATAATTTGGGGGGTTGGCCTAGCATGGGCCATGGCCCTAGCCCGTGCGGTCCCGTTCTGTGCTGTGCCGTGCTGTGCCATGCCATGCTGCGGGTTTAGGCCATAGGTTAGGCTTTGGGCATGGGATGAACTAGGCCATTTTTTGTTTTTTTGACATTTTTGATTTTTTTATTTCCTTATAAGTAAAACTAAAATATTTAACTTTTATTTGGGAATTATTTGAAAAGATAAGAAATCTAACAAAGAAATTAAAAAAAGAAAAAACTTAACCAAATAAGAAGTCGAAAAAAGAATCAAAGTGAATAATAAATTGGAAGAAAAATAGGAATTTTATTTTATTTAAATTTGAATGATACAAAGCATACAATGGTTGGATGAATGGAATATGAAAATTAGAAAATGGAATAAATTAATAAAATATAAAAAATACAATATAGTTACAAATTGAAAATAAAAAAATACGTCATTAAAAAATATCAAATAAATTAAATAAAATTAAAAAAAATAACAATAATTTGAAAAAATGCTATACAACTATTAAGTATACAAAAAAATGTTTACCTTATCATTTTCTCCTATTGTTTTTGATTTTGATCATTGTAGGAATTGAAAATGGTAGAGGATAGGGCTATTTATATGATTTGTTGAATTAGTATGATGAGAATGGAGGGTAAAGTTATTTATAGGAATTGAAAATAATTAGCCCAAAATATTCTAAAAACTAGTTGTTTTTTAGTTATTGGGAGGGGTATTTTGTTCATTGTAAAGTTATTTATCACTTTACCCAAAATGCCCCCCAAATTACCGGCTCGTGGATTTGGAACCCCAGGCCCAGCAAGGCCAAGACCATTGTGTCGGGCCTGGCATGATCAGCGTGCTAAGCCAGGCCGTGGGCGGCACAAACCAATTTACATTAAACAATCAATAAAATACTTGATTTGTCCTCAAATTCAAATACAAAATCATTAAAACAAAAGGCAAAAATACTTATCGATTTTCCAAAAATTCCAAGGGTTCTTAATGATTTTTACAAAAATAAAAGTCATTATACACATGTTATTTGCACCGAAGACGAGGTCCAATTACCATTAGTATCTTTAGCTAGTGCATTGTGTTTCTCCGCCTTCTATTGGATGCTGAAGCATGGAAGAAGCGTGTATGCCTATGACCCTGAGAAAACCAGTCAACTTTGGAGCGCTGCTTCTGGTATGCCTTTTCCCTGTCAAGCCAACCTTCCAGCTGCCTCCTAAGATCCAACTCCCTGTTAGTGTTGTGATTCATGAAATTGCAGTAACTCTTTCTCTAAACGGGTAATCTGTGAAGGAATGTTGCCATATTTCCCACTTCATTATAGCATTACCCGTAGCTTGTTGCCAATTGTGAGTGAAGGTATCCTGGAAACCCTTCTCCTGAAGCCAGTACTCCTCGAATCTTAACTGTCTTCTACCCCTGAAAGGTTGTAACAATTTCAGTAACAATGGCGAGTGATCATGGGCAAGTGGTTAACAACTGCAAGAGGAAAGATGTACAGCCATTCTGATTTTACTAGTACCCAGCTGTCATGGCGTTGTTGAGTAGGTCTTGTCCAGCCCAGATCCAACAATCCAACATTACTCACAGTCGCTCCAAGGTTACACATCTGATCAGCACTGGGACCGATCTCCAAGCTTCTCAAAAGGTTGCATCATGGTTTTCAAAGTCGGATTGGACCGGATGGTCGGACCAGAAAATCGGGAACCAATCAGGTGATCAGTTCTGTTTTACCCCAGAATCGTTATTTTATCAAAAAACGTTGATTTGGTCAATAAACCGCTGACCCGGGCGATCAAACTGTTCGAATCGTCCAACGGTTTTGGTGGTTTTTAAATATTTTATTTTTTGTCAGAACGGGCCATCCATTCGGTTTGAACAGTTGGACTGTTCAACCCAAAAACCGGACTCTGACCATTTCGTTGTCCGGTTCAGTATTAAAAACCTTAATTTGCATAATACAATTGAGATCTCCTACCAAATACCAAGGGTTTGAAGTGGTTCAGCAAACTTATACAAGTCCTGTATCCGTGCATGTTTGGGTAACAAGTATCGTAACAGAGGATATCCCAAATAGTAGTAGGGGCCAATTCAGCACACAAACAGCAATTTGATTTTGAGAGTGAAGTAAGATTTGTATTTGAGTTTCTTTTTTCCAACCAAACCACAGTCCACAGATAGACAGTCATATTTGCTCACTCCATTTTTGTTTTCAAAACCATTGTGGGGCAATGTGAGTGGTCCTTAGTCACGTTAATTAATATGATATGTTTTGTGCAAAAATGTCACAAAAAAAACCTAAAACGTGCCAAAAGAGGACACCATCATTGATCCGAAAGGTAGAAAAGGGAAATAAAACTTATATAGTCAATAATCGTAAAATGAAGAATATATTAATATGTGGAGATTTTACCATATAAGTCGTGTAGTTTGATCTACTGGCTTTAAAAAAAAAGGCTCACTCAACCCATAGATCACACTAATTTTGAAAATATTTAAAAAATAAAATAAAAAATAGAATAAATATAATAATGCAGTTATATTCTAAAAATCAAATAAAGGAAATTTAAATTAGAAATTCCCGCAAAAGGGAAAAAATAGTTAAAAGCAAAGTGGAATTAATATTAGAAATTAAAGAATGAAAAACATACTAAGGCCTTGTTCGTTTTTCGGTAAGTTACTTACTTGGGTAAATGTAATTACCTGGATAAGTTTTCCTAGAAAGCAATTATTTGGGTAAGTGCATTTACCCATGTTCTTTTATTCACCTGACAAATAAGGTAATGATTATTTTAGTCATAAAAATTCATTATTAAAAAGGCCATTTTTGTCTCATTCAAGTGTTAGCAACTTTTCCCCTAGGTGGGAAAGTTATTTACCCACCTACGAGATGGGCATCACTTATCTAGGTAATGGTACCCAAGAAAATAAACTTTCCCTGGTCCCCACATAAATCTCAAAAATAAACATGAGATTCTTGCTCAATGGGAACCAAAATCCCATTGACCAACTTCCCCCCTCTCAAAATCCAAAAAAAGAACACCCCCTAAAGGTAACTTAAATAAGACGATGCATTATATTAAAAAGCTAGAAACCAATTAATACAAAAATATATGTGTTTCTTATTTTATTTATTTATGGTATCATATGTTGACCCATATGACTGAAGTTATTTAACCTTAATGAATAACTTAACTACGTACTTAATGTAACTAATGGTTATAGGTAGGCCCTGTAAGCTTTTTAATATCCTTGTCAGGGCTGTTTGATGCATGTTTGGGCTTTGTTAAGTGAAATTGAAGCAAAAGTATTGCTCATAACATTCACAACTCATCCATGCTAGTTCAGTTCTAACTCAAGCATTATTTTTTTGGGTTATGTTTGGCCGGTTTCAATGTTTTCAATTTGCTATTGACTCGAACAATTGAACCATCACCTTGTCCTTTTTTGGATATGGTTTTTTAAAGCCAAAATTTGACTAAAAACCATTGACTTCCAAAAACCATCACCCATCCAACCCAAGCAGTTGAATTGTTGACCTATTCGACCCAGTCCATGAGTCACACACATGTATATCTAAACTTTTGAAAACTGTTACTTTGCACTAGATGTCTAATTGAGGTGATTTTTCCTAATCGGGTTAAATCAAACCAAATCCATCTCCAAACATTAGGTTTATGTATTGCCTGATTAATTTGCATTAATTTTCATTATTTTTATTACTATTTATTATTTTTTGTTATTGTTAGATAAATTTCTACAATTTTTAAATATTTTCTTGTTATTTTTAATTTGAATTTAAATGTTATTTTAATTTTTATTAATTATTGGTTGATTCATGGGATTTGATAAGAAAAATTACAAATATAATAGATATTAGCAGAAAATAGTACCTTAAAAATAATTAGTAATTTATACAAAAAAAAATAATTAGTAATTTATTTATTATAATTACTATTAAATGAATTTTAAAAAGTTGCAATAATTTGATTGTAATATTATTGTTATTTTGCTTTAAAATAACCACTACTAATTTATAATTCTTTGAGTGAGATTGATTGAGTTCGAATCTACACCCATCGCCTAGCACTCCAAAAACGTCCCACAGTTAAAATC